GTCTCTTGCCGCCCCCCCCCCCCCCCCCGGGGCTTGCGTTAGCTCGTTTTTAAAATAACCCTAAAAGATGGTGCTGCTGGTCTAAAGGTATGTTGTTGCAGTCATCGAACCCACAGCCCCTGAGAACTTTTGCTGTGTATACACTTCCTACAACTGCGTAATCTTGTTAGGTTTGGCACCTCTCCATTCACCACAGCACAAAAATGGTTTTTGCCTCTTTACCTCTTTTGAACTTAATGTAGCTCGTTTTTAAAATAACCCTAAAAGATGGTGCTGCTGGTCTAAAGGTATGTTGTTGCAGTCATCGAACCCACAGCCCCTGAGAACTTTTGCTGTGTATACACTTCCTACAACTGCGTAATCTTGTTAGGTTTGGCACCTCTCCATTCACCACAGCACAAAAATGGTTTTTGCCTCTTTACCTCTTTTGAACTTAATGGCTAGCCAAAAAAAGCTGGGATGTAGTAGGTAGTTCTAATTGGAAGTAGAAATTGGCGATAGGTATTTTTTTAATGCCTTCTTTATTTACAAAGAACATATAGAATCCTAGAGAGAGATCCCTGTTAATTTGCAACTTTAAAAACGAGTGGTCCTGTGACACCTTAGAGACTAACCAAAATAGATAGATTCATGAGCTTTCCTGGGCAAATAACAGAAATCAAGTTTTATGGATAACAACAGAAGTACCTGTCAGTTGTAGGACCTGTGTTAATGAGGCTAATTGTGTCTGAACGCAAAACGAAATAAGCAGAAAACAGTTCTTCATTTTCCCCTCTCTTCTATTTTTTGTAACTCACTGCACCAAAAAGCCTGTTCCCTACCCCCACAAACTTCTCCCTGGGTTTCTTTCAGGGTCAGCTACATTATTTAAGCTGTTCTTTCCAGCTATCTTTCACTCTCTCTTCCAGTTTGTCTGTTTTTTTTCTTCCCACAAACCTTCCACAGCACCTACCCAAAGCAGTCCTCAGCAAAACCTTTTATCTTAATATTATTGTGAGAATAAACTAATGCTGAATTGAATGGCCAGTTCGTGTTTATCAATTTCAGTGATGTTTTTACTCAGCCTGTAACCAGATTTCATTAAGTTCATAATATAAATGATTTGATCATATGTTTTGTCCTTTGCGGTATTGAATATCCAGCAATGAAAGGTGTCACTCATTTATTTGAAAAAGTAACTATCTTCTGGCACCTCAATATGTGACAGAAAGCCTCTTTTATATTGGCTTCTAACAAATGTTTAGTCAAGGGCATGGTACAATCTTCATACCCTTTCCAAATATCCTTTAATACTAGGCGAAACTCTTTGAAATGCAGTTTAAGAAAAAAAGTCCTAGTAGTAATTATTTGACTGTTACAAGCTTCTTAGCACAATTAAAAGGGATGGAGGAGGAGAATGTTTAGTGTTATCCTTTTTCAGCTTTAGTACTCGTGTGGATGACAGTATCTTGGTGTGCTATGGCTGTAGGCCACATCCTAATTTGATAACCTTACATAGAAAACTACAAGGTAGTTATCTCCATTGACTTATTAATAGCCACCTGTCGTCCTCTACTGTGGGCTTCTTTGTGTGAGAGAGGTAATCAAGGAATAGTTCTCAATTTTGAATTGAAAGCTTATCTTCAAAAACAAGAAGAAAAAAAACCAATTTTTTTCTTCAAGTTGACCTGCCCCAATCCCAGGAAATAGTGCAGTAAATGGTTTGTCCTGTTGTAGAATATTATGTTTGTGCTGTCTCCAGATCTAATTATCTGAATGCACACTTTGCGTTGTTTTCCACTAATTATAGGATAAGACTGTAGTGAGTCCAAAGACCCTTTCTCAAATGGGAGATAACTTTTAGTTCTTATTACTGTGTTTTTGTAGTACACCGATGTTATGATCTGTGAGCTTCTTGAGCAGTGCCTTCGCTCTATTACTTTTGCTGATGGACCTGCAAAGAATTTTTCAAGTAGATCCCTAGAGAGAGATTTCTGCTGTTGTGGTGATAAGAACAGAATCTTAATTTGTCTCCTTCAAACAGCATCACAGCTAGTATCTTTATCACTGTAGGAGCACCTGTAATTCTGTTGTTCTCCTTCCTTGAGTAGTAGGAATTTTTCTACAATTCCTACTATCTCTGTGCTAATAAACTTCTGTTAGAAAATGAAAGATTCAGCAGATGTATCTGTTTTAACTTGGCCAACTTGTCAGTCAGCATTCAACCACTAACTTTTTTAAAGGATGATCTTCTAGTGGCTGTTGTGGCTTTTGTGATGTGCAGTGCTCCCTGTGGTCCAGTAGAATGTGACTCAAATTTATAATAATTAGCCTGATATTTTTAAGGAAACAGCATTGGTTCAAAATGTAATGTTTACACATTCAACTTTTAATTGAACGTCCTGAGTATTTCAGTTGGACAGGCAAAATTTATTCCTATAGGAGCTTGCAACTTGGCAAACATGAAAAAGCTTAATGAGAGGTTGTGGTAGTTACGGCTACTTCAGTGTGCTATTGGCAATGAAGCCAGTAGCTTGGTAGCGAGACAGTTAACAGTCTTGAGTCTCTGAGCCTCAGGCAGAATCAGGTATTTGTGTTGATGCAGATGTCTGAGTCTTTTACCAAAGGACACTTCATGTGAAAATAAGTCCCTTATTCAGTAAGTTAAATGGCTTCTCATACAATTTTTTATTGCATCACTTGTTTGGTCTTAACAGCAAATGCTTGTACTACTCTGATTCTTAAATCTAGGTTTTTTTTAATATCCTGTTTAAAACAGGAGTCATGAGTGCCATTCCCAGAAAGCTGTCATTCCAAGCCATAACTATTTAGGACTTTGGAGCCATTATTGTAGTTCCTGTGGATTTCTAAGTTTCTGTAGATCAAAAAACTGGCAGGGAGACATTTGCTTCTGCATTCTGTGGTGCCATATCTTAAAATCCAGCCAAGTGGCTTGGTGTTTTGTATCTCTTGTTTTGTTAAATGCCCAGCTATTGATTTTTTTAATTGAATAATGATGTAATGAGCAGTAATCCTGGTAAATTACTATTTAGATTATAACCAAATTAACTTCTAAAATCCTAGTATCTTTCTGTGAGTATAAAGACAAAATAACACTGAGCAATATACTTTAAACTTGAACGTGCATATAGTGCCTGTAATTGTCGATATGAAGAAGAGCTGTGTGTAAGCATGAAAGCTTGTCTCTGTATCAGAAGTTGGTCGGATACAAGATACTACCTGACCCATATGTCTCTCTGATAGTTTGGGATCAACATGGCTACCACAACACTGCATTTAACTGTTGTAGCTTATCACCAGAAAAATAAACTTTTATATTTTATTTAGATTTTAAATATTCATTATCCACTTTGGGTAATGAATTGGTGGATATCATCAATACATACCCCTGCTCTGCGTCTGATCTTACTTTCTTGTTCCCACTGCTCAGCTCTGATGTCCCTTTTGCTATTAACTAATGAGCTGTTACAGCAGATGTTTTCTTTTTTGCAGACATGTCAACATAAATGTCTTTCAAAACAAACCTTCCTTGAGGCAGTTAAATAAGGAGTCAAATCTGTGTATTAGGAATGTTAAAATGATTGTTTAACTGTGTAACCACTAGGCATTTTAGCATTTACACATGGTGGGGGGAGGGCAGACAGCTCCCCAGGAGCTCTTCCTCAGAGGGATCCAGCTTTTAAGCAGACTTCCTGCATGTACCAGGAGCTTGTGTGTAACCATGAAGGTTAACCCATGAGCCCAGGTTCATAGGTTAACCATGTACATGGTTACACTTTCACATCCCTACTATGTGTAAATATTTTTCTAGATCTTCCAGCATATATATATAAATAAATAATATGGATTTTATTCGACTACAATAAATGTCAAGTTTCAATTTACAGTGGTTTTAATGTAAATAGTGAAGCTG